CAGTACTCAGCAGTCCTATAAACATTAGTATAATAAAAGTTGAGCCGCTTCTCAATATTAACTACCGACACCAATGGTTTCTTTCTGGCTATTTGAGAGGAGTACTTGTGTATTTTTAAGACTTTTCGGATTGTCTCGTGACTTACTGTTTTAAGGCAATCATTTTAAATACGACAAATTTCTCAGGGTGGTTTGAGGATTATCACTGATCTGCTTTAAAATCTTTGTATGATCGCGTCTAGAAAGTGTTGGTGATCGGCCTCCAGAGTGCTTTGACTCCAACCTGTTTTCTTTTTCTGCGCGTTTAGTAATATTATAAATCGTTCTAAGCTTGATGGAAAACATTTCCGCTAATTCCGTGGCCGATTTCCCTTTGTGGTAGTTATAATAAAAATTAATTGAATAAGATTTTCATTAGTTCGCTTGCCAGGCTTTGTTAAAAGCGCTAAATCAACCATATCTGAGTTGTCCAAAGCATTAATCGAATTGAATTTAATAGAGCAACGCGTAGCTACGACGCATGCGTATACACGTTTTCAAATTTTTGGTACCGTTAAGTTATCTACGTTTTATTTTGAATTGTGTGAGCATTTTGCAAATAATTATTATTTTTTAACGTACGGTTTCATTGATTGTTATTTCTGCGAGTGAGATTTGTTCAGAATACTTAGTTTAACAAAACAAATTAATAAAGAAAAGGAAAATAATATACTTTCATTTATAAAATAAAATTTGAAAAGAGGCTTTTGTATTTTTTTTTTCAATTTTGCAAACAATTAATTGACATAATATGCGTATTTTTTGTACAATGCAACTTGTTTTTGGACGATAATCAATCATGAAGCCTCCGAAAGCGAGGACAATTCACAAAATAAATTTTAGTCGCATTTGAAAGGTAAAATAAATATCTTCCTTAATATGCTTGTGTTTTATTAAGAATGAATCCCGGAGATTTAATAACGCTCAATTAAAATTTTCGGCTACAACAGCAAAAGGCTTCATCACTCATTTTCATATTTCAATCGTTCTTAGTGAAAATCTAAGAAACAAAAGCTTTCAAAGTTAGTTTAACATGAATCTTGGCACATTTAGAGGACTATCATATTTAGTGGTATCTTTATGGTTGCACGGCCATGAAACAATTAATACAATTAATAATGCCATAATTTTGTTAATTTTATTAAAATACTGAAATCCAATACCAGCAAATGAACGGATTTAAATGTTAGTGCTGGCTAATATTTACTGAATTTTGTTCGGGTAAAAGTCAGTAAACTTCTCCATCTCACTCTCAACTTTGCTACTGGCTGCCATGATATTTCATTTTGTTGAAAAATAAAGTTAACTCAAAGTAAATTTCGCTAAAAATTTATTACTACAGGAGCAAAGCCCACTTCTCGAGTGAGACTTCAGCTTAAAGTCCCGATCTGAAACCTATCGAAAATTGGAAAAGCCCTAAAAATTTAAATTTGTAAGAAAATATTTAAAAATCTCAGCTGACTATGGAGAGGAGTTGAAGAAGTATGGAGCTCTATTGCTTTTGATAGTTCCAAAAAGCTTAAAAAGGTCAGGTGGCAGGGCAAGATGCTGTTGGTCGGAATAAGAGTTATTTCATTAAGTATTAATCTGGTAGACGTGTTAATTAAATAATTATACTTAACTTCTGAACTATGAATTGATTCAGCAAGACCTTTCTGTCCAAAAGTGAACTAATTACTTGGGCAGAAACTTGCATACATACGTGAATGCATCTGGAAGTAAAGTAGATCAGTAGATCAACAATACAAGATATTGGGCCTTTATAACATGCCTTTTATTTTTTTAGAATTGTCGTATATCAAGCCTGCCTATTTAAGTTTTTAATTTTTGGTACTAAATGCGAACCTTTAAAACCGCTCATGTTAAAATATACAAAATTATTAGCTCCTATAATTTTGGGCTTTCCCGATCCCTTAATGACTTAACTTCTGACCGATTGAGCTCCAAAATGAAAACAAATTAGTATGTAATGTTTTCTTCAACTCGATCACAAGCAACAGGAAAGATCGATATTTATTAGGAGAACTGTTTTGAAATATTCAAAAGATTTTTGGCAAGCCGGCCCATGATACAATAGGAAGGTGGAGTCACTGGAGTTCCATAGCCTTGCCTACAATCATGTAGAATGCTATAAAAAACAAAAAACAAATTAACAAATAAACCGTTATAATTCAGTACCTAGCCCAACTAGAGAAATCAAAATTAATTTATAGACTCACTACCAATTTTGCCAATTCAAAACTTCTTCGAGACTTACCAAAATATCTTGTTCCCAAAGTACCATATGAAAATAGTCTAAGTAGAACTCTTAAAGAAACTGTTGCCCAAGAATATCACTTATTAACAGGCTATCTGAAATATTCACTTCAATTCTGATTATCCAAAAACTGTTTTTTTTTAGTGATTCTCTTTATTTCGTCTTTCCTATGGCTAATTTGCCGGAAGCAAACTTAAAAAGTGACTTTTGCAAATGCATTCGATATAGCGTGCAATGCGTTAAATACAAAAGAGTTATTTCTAACCATAAAAAGTTAACTTAACAAAATGAAATAAATACAAAATCAAAATGTTTGCGTTATTTGTTGGTACGTCCTATTCTAAAATGACTCCCTGCCTCCTTTGCCAGTTCATCAGCCGTGCGATATGAAAATAAGCCAGCACTCTGCCTTACGTTCCATTAGCCCAAAACGGAATTGACTTTTTATATACAGAGTGATTTAGTAATTTGCTTAGTGAGTATTCGGTCAAGAGTGTCCTCAAAATAATTATCCTTTGTAAGACAGATCAAAGTACTCAGCCGAAGATGAGTGTACTCAGATTTCTTTTGTTTCAATCGCGAGAGAAATACATTACTCGGTATGTTCAGAGCAGTGCTCTCAATTTCATAGCACAATTGTGCGCTCGCCGCTGACTCGTATTCTCCTGCCTTCAGAAGTGTTTTAAACACATTAACAGGCCTATTCCCACTGTTACCGGTAAAGTAAATTTTGTTACATTTCTTTAACACCCATAATTGAATTTGGTATTCCGGCGAACTGGTTACAATGTTTGAAAAAAATTTGGCAGCACTATGTTTTTCGTCCATGTCAAATTACATTTGCCAGTTGATAAAGTAAAAAGAAAAATATTCACATCGAAATGGAAGACGGTGCACAAAAAAATTAAAGTTTTATTAATTTGCTTTTTAATTTATAAATAATGGGAACTAATTATGGAAAATATGCCTGGAAAAATCTGAATGAAAACGTTATCTTACAAATTAAAGGGCTATTTTTTAGTCTCGAGAACTTCTTAAAATACTGCTTTTTGCAGTGTTTTCTTCATCTTCAATGAATTCCAGGCATAAAATATGTCTACCATTTTGGTTTTTTAATTTTTCTCAAATTTACAACACAAAATCAAACAGCAGATATTTTTGTTACCTCCTATTTCACTGGTAACAAAATTTACAGGGTGTTAGTGAACTCAGAATACGAAATAGTAACAAAATTTACTGAATGGTAAATTTTAATACCTAAATTTTGTTACCTCGACATAATAGGCCTGTAAATGCTTTTAATATCATACAAAGTTCATTATGTTAAAAGACGTTAAAAAATTGTTTACTATAAAGGTAATTTCAAAAATTTAATCAATTTAATAATGAAGTTATTACTTCTTATTTTAGTGCATCCACGCTTTCACCAAAAAAACAATCAAATTTTTTCTCTGAGGCCCCTGTTTGGGTGCTCTGGATTTAAGTCGTCCAGCTCTCATATAATGGTGACATTGTAATATTTAAATATAATATCAATTACTACGATAATTCAGCACCTCTTTAGGTATGAAGACCAAATGTGATTGAAAAAAATGTTTTCATGGACACAACGTGGCTCATTTTTAGGTATCTCACTTATTATACATAATATATATTATACGAGTGTATGTTATACATACGTACATATTTTCTACGAGTGAATAATTCAATTTACCATTCCACATACTTTTGTCCACCTAAGCTATAGTATTTAATGTAAGAACTGCCCGGCTGCAACTTCGAAAACTGCATTATCTTCAATACTTAAGGAGAACCAGCAAACATTTTGGCACATAAAATATTACAAGGGCAAAGCGACATTGGTCAGGTCGTAAGCCTGACTGTCAAATTACAGATAATTGAGAATTAATCGCGTCCCAATTTGATATTTATAAATACATATGAAATATAGTCAAAGTCGGAATTATAACCAAAAAAAAAATCCATTGAGAGTAAATGCAAAAAAGCCGAGTATTAGTTATTCAATTATAAGCCCGAACTCGACATTGAAACGGTGTTGTATTTTCAACTAAAGCTTTTCTTCCGCTTTACCGCAGAGTTTTCCTTTTCTAGCTGTGCTGCGATGTATGTATGTATGTAGTGGTTCACAAAGAAAGTTATAAAGGCATGGCAAAGCGAGGTGGAGCAAAAAGTTGCCTAACCATCCAATTGTTGCCCGATTCTCTCGTTTGATTTTCGGATCCATTTCATAATTTTTCATTCATCAAACGATGGGAGTTTTATGTGAATCAGCCTTAAAGTGTACGGTTAAGCGGTTCTAATCTAACACTTAATGAAACATATATCAGTCGTATTCACTTTGCTATGCATTGGGCTTAACATTACATATTCGTGATATTTTTGATAAACACCGCAAATTTACAAAAATCAAAGTGCATAAAATACCAAACGCGGAATCTATCAAATGCACTCGCTCAAAATCTAGAATATCTATGATAAATATGTATTTATCAAAAATATCTCGCATCGTGAATAGGACTATTGTATGTAAGTATATAATGCAATGATGTATCATGTGTTTTGTTTGTCTGAAAATGTGAGTATTTACGTTTATGTAATGGAGAATTAACCAATAAAAATGGATGGGACTATCAAGATACTTTAAGGCAATAATAAAGTGTGTATATATATATATATATCATACCATTGATTATTGGATGTTCCGAATGCTCCAGGTCCACTAACTCTTCTTTGATTATGTTTTACGTGCATTTTCTTACGAAAAAAATCAGTGTGTGCGTTCTGCCTTCGGGACGCTAATCACACTGTCAGTAGAGCCGTCCTTAACCATATCTTTCACTGGGTATTTCCTCTTCTTTCACTTATTTATGCGATGAAAAAAGTTTATGGTTGTATCGCTGTGTGTATGTATTTACGTGTTTGTAAGAAAGTATAAATATCCTCTGACACACTGGCACAAATTCGCACATCATATGAGTTTAATACAAGCAATAAGTTTGGTTGTTGTTGTATACGGAAATAACCATATAATTATAAATTAATAATTGCGTACATGCACGTACATATATATGTATCCTCGAATACCGGTGCAGGAGTACAGATAATTAGGTTTCTCTCATTCGAAAGGAGGTGGTGGTGGTGGGTGGTGGGTGTTCTGCTTGGTTGGCCGCGTCGTTGTTGCACCTAATTTCGTTCAACTTTGCACTTTTGATTTTTAGCTGTGCTTTTCCGCATTCCCTTACGACTCTGGCACGAACATATGTATGTATGTATGTACGTATTTACGTATTTTTTCTATATTTGGTATAAGGAGTTTCGTTGTTGTTGCTGCTGTTGTTGTTGTTGTTGTCGTCGTCGTTTCTATTGTGGTTTTGGTGGGTACAGTACGAAATAACTAACATACGAGTAAACTAGATGTACTTGTATAGTTGTTTTTTATTTTTTTTCAAATTCACTATATATGTATATGTATATATGTATTATATTATTGTAGAAGTGTAGGTACAATAGCACTTTAAATTCTAATGGGGCTGCTACTATGCATGTACATATGTATGTAAGTATTAACAATTATGAAGTAGGCAGGGAGAGAGTATCGATGTTGCTAGTAACTACAGTAACAGTTATATATTATATATATGTATGTATAGCTATATATTTTATACGTAATCATGTAAGAAAATTGGCGTATTTTTTTATCAATAATTATTACATACATACAATATGAGTATTTGAGCAACAAAATAATTTCAATTATTATTCATATGTGTATGTATGTATGTATATATGTATGTATGTATGTACATATCATAATATGTGTTGCATTAAAGTTATTAGTTTGATTTATTCACAGACCAAATAAATTTTATTCGCTATTTTACTAATTCTTTTATATTATATTATTTATTTATTTATTTAATTCCTTAATTGATTCGCTCTCTTTGCACTGCACTGTGAATTATATTTTGTAATAAAAATGTTGTAGCATCAGCGCTGTTATAATTATGTAACTTATTTTGTTCGCTGCATCACACTTTTTCGCAAAATATCCGGACACACACACATTTAGCTATTTCTCTTCATTAATTTGTATATTCATAGGCTAAGTAAAACATTTTTTTTTCGCAAACTCTTCTTGATTTAAATATAAAAGTTGGATATATAACATTTTAATTCTATTTGTGTTTGTAGTAGCTTTTATTTTTCACTTTATTTGCAATTTCAATATATTAACAAGTTATATAAGAGTATCCTTTTTTGGTTATCCTTAAGTTTCCAATATTAAGCAGGTACGTGGGTTTATATCAATTTAATATTACTTCTGGAACTACGAGCTCTATGTTTGTTAAGGAATTTTATTCGGTTATGTAATTGTTTTCATTTTCATTGAATATGAGTGATGCACATTCACTTTCTTCGTCATCGCGAAAAGCACACTGCACACACACTGAGGGATACATACAACATACCCATGTACGTGTATGCACAACCGTATATTCAATTCATGGGAATGTGTGTAGTCGGGTGCTTATACACAGTATATGCACAGATATGTATTTATTTTTTATGAATTACTTTTATACGCACACAAATAATGTTTTATCTGCCTTCAAGTTTTGCCACAAACACACACACACACAACGTATGCCTTGCACACCGCAGAGTATTCTTAACACTTCCTACGTTTTCCTATTGTACATAAAATTCCGATACTCAAAGTGACTCATATACATATATACATACATGTATGTATGCATATGAAAAGCCATCACTTTCAGTTCCAGGAACGCCCCCGAGTAGACCTTCGATTGTTCACTAACTCGTAAGAATTTTTACAATATTTTCCAAATTTCAGCATTAATGCACGTTTTTATTTTAGCGAGAATTTCCTTAGCGAATTTTTTAAAGATATACGTACATTCAGGCAAAACGTCGAGTTAAATAATAAATGAATTGTAAAATCAATGTTTCTCCTTTGACCTCTATTTTTTTCTCCGACCAGGATACATTTTTCGCAATATCTATAATTGTGTGTAATTTATTATATATACATATATGTATTGCAATGTACACGTATGTATATTCATATATAAAACATTTTATTTATTATTCAATTCAGCACTTAATAAATCTGTTACTAATTTGTCTTTATTCTTTTACATAACGTTTTAGCAGTTTAGGGGAATTATTTAATCAAAAAATTTGATTAGCCGTTTACTTTCACTTTGACCTGAACTACTCAATACGGACTCCCCACTGTAAGTAAAGCTGCCTTATTCACGGGCACATTGCTTTGACTTGTTATTCAACTTATCCGTATAAAAATCGATAAAAAATGAGCATGTCCTGCCATTTGAAAGTTCAGTTGTCCTCTGTTTACCACTCAATGTGAGACCAAATGAGTTCGCTCTTGAGCGTAAAGTTGCGAGCTTTTCATGTTGCAACCGTGTTTTATTCTCTGCCATTCATAAAATCGAGCGCACCAAAACTTAAGCCGACTGTCGTTTAGTGCCAAATGCACTAGACGTTTGTAGCATATATATCATATGTATGTATGGGTGTATTTTATAAAAGGGTAAGCCACAAACAGGAAATTCAAAATTGTTTACCACTTCACATTACAAACTGCTCTTTTTTTTTTAAACACAACCATGTATTTGGGAAAGGAAAGTATTACTGACTGCCATTGGAATGCATTAGAAGTAAAGTGTCTATGATCTCATAACATATCCCAACGGCTTCTCAGCTCCGCCCATCCGCAAGAGGGGCCGGATTTACGGTCCGCATGATGTACAGAACCTTTTTCTTTGTTTACATTAGCACCGAGTACGACGAGCGGGAGTTTATTAAGAGATTATTGTGTGTCGAGAACTAAAAGAGTTCGACTATTGAACAAAAATTCATCAGCTGATTTTAAACAAGTAAATTAATTCAAGTATGTGTAAAGCTATTAAAATTAGTTTAAATTCGATAAAATTATTTTTTAATATGAGATAGTGAGTAAGATGCGGGTCATGTGTAGATGTTCACGCAAGTATGGCAATTTTTTTTACTGCAATTTACATGGGAGTGGCCAAAAAGGATTATTTTGCATATGGTTCAAGCAGCTCACGACTTCTGGTATTAGACTACATATCCCTTGTGTATGCAAAAAACATCCGATTGGAGGCGAACTAAAGTAAGAAGGCGTAGGGTTTGGGATCCCCACATAAAAACCAAAATCCAATAAAAAATCCAAATCAGCCTCGGATGAGAGACATCCCTTTTGATGACGACCGCCGCATATGTTGTAAGGATTACGATTTTAGGCACCTGGAATGTCCGGGCTTTTAATTAGGAAGGTGCCGCTGCCCAGCTGCCTCCCATTCACGAAGTGTGATAGACAGGACGAAAGTGAGTAGATTCTTGGGGCATCCACTACAGCGGCCAAATAAAGGAGCGCAAATTGGGTGTCGGAATCGTGGTGGGAGAGAGACTCCCTCACCTCTGTGAATCGAAGAACGCCCATCAACAAACACAAGGAAGGCTCGTCGTTGAAAAGCTGCAATCACAACCGACTGCCGAGCGGTTCCTACTCCACTTGCACTCCTACTCTCTGAGAGCACTCATCAGCAACCCGGTATAAGGGAACTGTGGGACGGCATTTCAAACTCCCGACGTACAGCTGCGAACGAGCTATTGGTGCGAGGAAGACTGCCGTGTCGCGGTGGAGACTGTCTACCTCATTACCTGCCGATCGACCACAACACGTGCAGGAGGGATAGACACCGAGATGTGAAGAGGAAATCAAGAGGCATCTTCAGGCCGAAATGCGTGAATATGAGGAGCTTGAGAAGCTGGCCGACAAGGGTAATGATTGAAAAACTACGGTGACTTACGGAAGGTTGCAATTCCGTATCAAAGTCTTGTAGGACCCAGAGGTGATTCAGCAACCGATGCTCGAGTTATTCAAATACAGCTTCTTTGCAAAATATGGTCGTATGAAAGTATGCCCGACGGTTGAAACCTAAGTATGCTCTGCCCAATCCACAATCAGGAGAAGGTCATAACTATACATTTTTTAGGATTTACTAGTATACAACTAATTTTACACCATTCAACCACGCTACTTAGGTTTATTTGATAGCTTCATTTGCGAAGTGTGTGATTTATAAAGTTTTACATCATCCGCATACGAGTACATAAAATTTTTTTGAATATTTTAAATATCATTTAAGAATAGTGAGTACTCTTTGAGCTTGCAGCTTCATACCTTTATAAAACCATTGCTGAAGGTATATATTAAAAGATTCTATGCATACAGATATGAACATTCCTACATATATATATATATTCATTACAATTTACAAGGCAGGAAGAAGGTATTTGATCAGCACCTTATATCAATCAGATTTTTATGGAATTTTAGATGAAGAAAACCTTCGATGACTGATATTGTAGGAGTATGGACTAAGTTGCGCGGAAATAATTTGATATTAATTTATTAATGGTAATTAGAATTTGTTTGAGAACTCGGAGAATAATTAGATTTAAAACACTATTCATACAAATAAAAATAAATATCTTACAGTAATGAAAAATTATGAAAATTTGAGGAAAGGTTAATAAATGAGTCTACTATACGATGTCATGTTCCCTTTCAACCATAATAGCAGTGCTAACTTATTTAATTTTTTATACGCGTAATTCTAATGTATAATACATAACTTTTTCCAACTTTTCATCATTTTCAATACAAACTAGCTCTGAGGAATAAATTGTAATATATATTATGACAACAAACGGCTTTTGGCTCAGTAAAGTTTTAACGGCTTGTTCGTTATGAGCGTTCAGCCTTCCCGAAACTTATAAAAACTTTAAAATTACTCACGCGTGTAGGACAAGACAAAACAAGCATTCGTTTATTAATAGGGAACACGGCATTTGTAATACATTTATTTATTAGTATTCCCTAAAATTTTTATAATCATAGGCCCATCTGAGAAATTTCCACTCAGCTAAGAAACAAAACTCGTGCATCTGTAAATCAGTCTGGCGCAAATTATTCATCTTTTCAATAATTACGCGTTGACATATCCTGAACTTTTCGCTTTCATGAGCAGTTTGTTTGAATTTTCTAATACCGATCCCCTTTAGGATTTAACATTTTTTCCCTCAAAGCGGAATATAGTCGGCAGAAGTATATGGCTATTGGAATCTAAATATGATCTACAAAACTATTGTATGAGAAGCAGTGACTCATGTTGTTTTGCATGTCTAGATGCTTTTCCAGTTTATTCTAAGCCACCTTCGAACGGCCGATGGATTTTTATGAGGAGCTCTTTTCATGTTCGAGCGCTTGAGAAATTTTCTTCTCATAGTTTTGCATGTTGGTCGAACCAGAACTTGTACCCAAGCCTTGTTGGATTATGCCGATAATATTGATTTCATTGCCTCAACGACGACTATATAGTCACGACATGCCCGCTATAATCTAACATCTCTCTCTCCTTATGGTACAATCCGTAAGATGTGTCTACACCAAACCTGTTGGACTGCTCAGCTCACAACTCTTTGGACAGAGGTTCTATTAAATTAATTGGTTGGCATTATATTATAATTTAATATTCATGACCATAATGAGATTTTTGATTTTAGCCCAACCGACGTTGAAACATGTTTCTATATGTCTTTATATTCACTCCTACATTTTTAACAAATATAATAACACGATCATGTAAAGAACAGACTCGGAAATTTATTAAACATAATTTTTAATGTTAAGATTGTAAACAAGTAACAATATCACAAAAGGTATTCTCTTTGAACAAAAAATATAAAAAAGGCTGGCAGTGGTAACTTTGTTACAGTTAGTTCCAATGTTACGCTTATCTTCTACCATATGAAAATCACCATCATTGTAAATGTGTAAATTTGCAGTATAGTTTCCAAAGCAGCACGATGAGCACAACTAAAAGTATTAAACGAAAATATGCCTTTCCTTTTGGGCCTTAAGTCGGGCATCCTTCTGCACTGTGAACTGAACCAACGCCCAGTTACGCCATTGCTATCCTTAGATATGATACAGATTTGTGCTTTCTCCGCTTTTATTCTTTCACGGATCGGGTTAATTATTATCTCGTGAGTGCGTTCATTGTAGGCTGCTTCGCCTTGGTACAGTACATCGTTTTCGTCATTACGTATATAAACTAAAAAATCGGCTATATCTCTGGCGGCTGTCACAAAGAAACGAACTGTGAGGTTCCCGTTATTATTGCTACAGTGAAAATTTAGAAAATTTAATTAAAAAGCGTTAAAAACATGGACTTATTTCACTTACACTGTGTTATCTCGGAACTGTACATCGGCGAGTTCTTCGTAAGCTTCACCTTTATAAAGATCTCTATCTTCCAATATGCATTGAAGATTTTCATCAAGCACATCCATTATTCGCTGATTTTGATGAAATAACGGTGTACTGCATCTAATATGCTCTAAGTCCTCGTCTAAACTTGATTTCTCCAACATAAAATGCTTTAGAGGCCGTGCGGCACAACTGCAATCCAAAGGATTTCCAGCAAAATATATGTTGGTGCCATTGCGTAACATTAGCACTAATATTTGTGGAAATTCAGTTAAGGCATTGTTTCGCAAATCAATGTTCTCGAATGGTACATCTTTTTGAAAATTTGAAAAGGGAATTTTATATATCTGGTTGTTACTCAAATTGATATCTCTCAAATGTTTTGGCAGATCGAATATGTGCTGTTCTGATGCTAGGTTGGTTAACTCATTATGCGATAAATCCAATGATTGTAGTTCTGTGAAATTGGCTAAAACACCTCTTCGGATTTCATTTATCTGATTATTTGACAAATTTAAGGAAAGTAGTTTTTTTGTGCCAAAAGTGATGTCATAGGTCAATACAGGCATTTGATTGTAGCTTAAATCCAACCGCTTCAGATTATACGGTATATATTGATTAGAGGGAAATGTTTTTTTGGTGACAAAACTGATTTTGTTGTGGCTTAAATTCAACTGAAATGATATGGGGTTCAATTTTTAGCTTATATGTATGTAATAGTCATCATGTTTACTTAAGAGTATGTTTATATTGTAATAGAGTCAGTACTTCAATATATACATATGTATGTAAATATCAGAAATATATTTTCTTGAAAGAACGTCACTTTATGTAGAAAACTGTGTCTTCAAAAATGGAATGAGAAATTGAGAAATTAAGAATTTCCAGTTCAATCATACGTAGCATAAGCGATTTCATGGAAATTGAATTTTAATTTCTGAAAAATAGTTGAACAGCTATTTTTTGAAATTAAATTTCTCGCTGATTGGTTCTAAGAAGGACATTTGAGCACAACCCGAAAACAATTGCAAAAATTGCCTTTTGCGTTCTTCGCAAAATTTGTGTGAAGAAAACAAAAGAATTTGACGATACCCAAATCTCTAGACAGCAATTGCGAGAGAAATAAAAATTGCTAGCCCAGCACCAACAATTGGAAATACAATTTCTGAAATCAAACTGCAGTCACAAAAAATTAAATGTCATAAGCTAGTTTCAGGGTGGTCACCTGTCAAAATTAGTATTTTTTATTGCCAAAATGCAATTAAGTTGCTCATGCAGTTTTTAACATAAGAGTCCTCTTATAGAATAAGTTAATTATGTTAAAGGTCAGACCCGAAGTCTTTGTCCATTTACTGCTTTTGAGGCGAAAAGATCGACTACTGTTTTAATTTTTAATTACAAACAGAGGAGAGTTTAATCTGTTGCGCTATAACAATAATCGATCCCTGCCATAAGAAGTCTGATGAGGAGATGTGGTGATCTCCGAAACAGCTGTCACTTCTACCATTTTTCTTTGTTGTTTAACAAATATTCAATTCATACAAACAACAAGTCCTCGTAGTTTACTTAATAAAATTAATAATCGTTGACGTTTCAAGAAAATATCAATGGCTCCTGCATAATATATGGATATCAAATGGAACACAAATCAAAAATCATTTGGACTTTTTTTCGGAACTAGAAGTACCGAAACGAAGTCGGAATAAATTGCCGCCATATTTACCTCTTCCAAGCTAAGTAGATCGTCGAGTACGCCGTTCGTTTTATTATCCAATTTAGCTATTTGATTAAAAGATAAATCCAATTTTCGTAAGGATGGTAATCCAATAAAGACATCGGTTGGTATATTTGCGATTGCATTAGAGGAGAGATTGAGGGTAAGTAGTTGCAAGAGACCTTCAAAAGAGCGTTTGCTAAAATTTGAATTGGTAAGTAGAAAAGTAAATATTTACATGATGTATATGTGTAGACATTATATAATGAAATGTTCATTTAGTAAGCAAATACTCAGAAGCTTGTAATTTTCTTTAGTTATTGTAGGTGCTGGATTATGGATCAATGTTTTTAGCAAACTAAAAATATGCTTTTGTAGCTCTCAATGGCCTTGATATAATCAATATTACATTTTAATACCGCAGTCATTATTATTATATCTAATTATGTGTTACATTAGTGATATTTGAGTTATTCACAGAAATATAAATAAAATCATAACTAAGTTAAGTATTATTTTTATTAATGTCATAGACATCACTAGCGGTGTTAACCCATTTTTATGCGAATTATAAACACAATTTAAATTCATCATTAAAGAGCTCAGAATCCTCGTTTTTTTTAATTTAATATATAATCACATGAACATTTCTTCAAACAAAAAAAGTTTTAAAATTTTTTTGTATAATATTTTTATATGCATACTGACCTGATATCACTTATGCTATTGCCATATAAATTCAGCTCGAAAAGAACTGGTAATTTTCCAAAAGCACTTTTCTCCAAAGCAGTAATGTTGTTATGCTGATAAAAAATCAATATAAATTTCATAAAAACGATTTAAATAATAAATTTGCGTATAAATACTATTTTCTTAACCAAAATCCAAAAGAGTTTGTATAATGAAATTACTTACCTCCAGATGTAAATACTGAAGTGTCGACATGCCAGCGAGGCATTCATGCGGTGGTAGTGTTATACCATTGTTGTTTAGCCACAATTTCTGTAATACGAGTAGACCTGTGAAGCTTTGAGCTGTTAATGAGTCTCCGATTTCATTATTATTTAAATTTAAAAACAACAACGAATTCATAACTGGCCAAGTGCCCGCTGGAATGCTAGCCAAACGATTACTCTCTAAATTGAGGTCATTCAGAGAAATGGGAATTTGAAATAATTTTTCGAGTTGGTTATTACTGAGATCCAAGAATCGTAAACTGGTAAGTTTTGCCAACGCGCCACGTACAATCGATGTTAGCTTGTTTTGACTAAGATTCATATCGAGCAATGTGGGAAGTGTACCAAAAACTGAAGACTTAATTTCTGTTAAGCTATTATGACTGAGGTTTAGAAAGCGTAAAGAAAAAAGTGTTTGAAAAACGCCGTTCGCTATCAACGATATGTTATTGTATGAGATGTCAATAGTGTGTAGTTCATACAATTTTGGAAAACAATTTTTCGGAATCTCTGCTATATAATTATGTGAAGCATTTATAACCTTGATACCAGTCATATTCTGAAAGGGCACCTGCAAAAAATTTCAATGATTAGAAATATATCAAAAAAAAAAAAAAATTGCATTAATTTATTTACGTGTGCTAAGTTTGTAAGATAATTGTAGCTCAATTGAAACTCTGTCGCAAAAGTCGTAAGATCAAATGCATTGCGTGAGAAGTTCTTCAGTCTGTTAAACGATAAATCCAAAACCGTGATGTTCACACAATTTTCAAAGGAAAGCGTTTCTATTTTCTCCAGAGCGTTGTGTGAGATATTGATAGTTGATTGGTATATGTCTTTGAAAGAATGCTTTTCCACAATTGTAATATTATTTTCAGCAAGATCTATTACCTATGATATCAACACTTATAGGTTAAATTTCAACGTCATACTGAATGGTTTTACCTCTACATAATTAAGCTGTGAGAACATTTGGAATTCAACTTTCTTCAAAAAGTTTCTAGCCAAATCAATGGTACCGATTTTACCGATGGAGCCAAAGGTGCCTCTACCAACATCGCTTATTTTATTGTCGCTCAAAAACAAACGCCTACAAATGTATAATTTGTGATTTGTGTTGAAACAAAAGATTTTGTTTAATTCAATTTTCACTAAAATAATAACTCATTAATTACCTCAAAAACCGCATTCCGCGAAAACTATTCGCATCTAAACGGGTGATGTTGTTGTGAGATAAATTCAGTAATTTAAGTACGGAGTTCCGAGCAAAAGTTCCCCTGAGGATGATTTGAAAGAAACGTCATTTCAGGCATTAATGTCCAAGATAACTACTTACCTCGATATTTCTGTGAGCGCATTATGAGAAGCATTACACCAACCCAACTTAGTCATGTCCGCAATATGTTGAGCTTCAAGTTTTTTAAGATTGTTATAACTGATGTCTAACACTTCAACAGATCTCAAATTTTTGAACTGATTTTTCTTCAGAGTCTCCAGTTGATTTCCGTGTAAGTCAAGCACTTTGAGTTTACGCAAGGGCTAATTGAGATATGGAATTATGTAAAAAAAAATTAAACAAGAATGAATGATTACTTTTTGTTAAACCTGGTTAATTTAGCTGAAAACATTCAAGAATATATTTGAATTACTACTTCCACGTCATAATATTTTCAAATATATAGAAGATTCTCGGGGAATACTTGTAAACGGTTGATAGAGTTATGTAATTTAGGTTTAATAATTCAAAATATACCTGAAAGGATTCAATTGGGACATCATTTAGTGGTCCATTGATAATTCGTAGCACTTCCAGCTTATTTCCAATACTTTGACCATCAAAAACATTCTTATTGATACTGTTCAATGAATGACCATCTATTATAAGTTCTTTTGCGTTACCAAGTATCTAAAGGTATTACGTTATGTTAAACAATTAAAGAAATATTATGTTTTAAAAATTCACCCCAAATGATAGAGGAGTAAAGGATGATAGATTCGTACGTAGTATATGCAGCTCTTCAATGGTCTTGTTGATACCGAAGAAGGGGTAATCCTCCATTGTAGCTAAAGGTGTGTCGGCAATGGTAAGTAATCGGCTTTGCACTTTCGAAAACACTGGCCCATACAATCTTACTGTATAATGTAACAAGATAAAAGTAATTATGTACAATCACTTGTATTTAGACTTGTTTAATCTTTATTTACCAAAATGTCCTTTTACGATTTCCAAATGCTCTATTTGGGTACCCAGAGCTCCGAGATTCTCGAGTGCTATCGATAACGTGGCTAAGTTCGTATTTTCACATCTCACATAGATTCCTAAATCAGAATTTTTCCAACAGGTACATGGGTATATAGCTTTAGGCCTTGAAAAAAAAATAATAAATATAAATGAAAATTCTCACATTTGTCCAATATGTATAAATATATCTAAACGATACTTACTTGGTTGGACATTTATATTTTGGCTCGTTAAATGCATATTCTAATTTCACTAATGCACTTAAATGCAAAAGTAAAATGCAGCGAAGTAAAAATTTATGCATGTTTACAAACTTATGAGCAAACAGGTTTTGAAGAGAAAACTCAACATTGACGCATAAGCGGATCTAGTTCGTGGCTAAAGTCTTCTGATTATGTTTTTTCCAATCAGCAACAACAAAGCATAATTTTAATTTTAAAACGATTGCATATCAGTTTACTTGAAAAAACTGATTTGACTTTGTGAAATCTTCACTGCTAAATAATTTAGTCGATATTGATACTCTTCATTACAGTTCAAATTTACCCTTCTAATTTGAAAAGTAGCTAAATAATGAAAAAGAAATTGTGGATCACAAGAGGAACAAAATGAGTTCCACAAAAATACTCTTGTCTAATTAGATTACGGTGGCTATGGATGGCATTTCAATTGACAGCTCCGAGTTTAAATTAGATGATTATATTAGTTATAAGATAATAAACCAATGTGAATGTATATAACAAACCCCATGAATATGGAAGGTACAAATCGTCAAAATACGGCCGTATCACATAATTAATTTAATCAAATTAAACTCCAAAGCAGCGAAAACGGAGTTTTGGTGTCAACGGCTTAATTACTAGCCCAATTAAAATGAGTAAAATATATACATGAACAAAAACGATTTTGAAGCACATCACGTATATTGCCTTTATCGTCGAATGAAAATATTCTAGTTATCCCATGCCTTTTTAATTGAACCATTAAACTATCACTAATTCAGAATTTACAATCAAGTCCAGTATTGGACTAAACAATGCCAGTAACTACTGATCTTTTTGTTGTTATTGTTACCGCAAAAATATTCCCCAAAGTAAATTGAGGGAGGGGGTGGGTGACCGTCCTTGAGCGGATAATATCCGATTGTTATTGTATAAGGACCCAATTGCCACCTACCACGACAGGCACGCATTATCGCGAGTAAATTCTTGAACTCCTAACCCGCAGGGACGGATAGTACGGACTATGAGGTAATATACACTTCCTGGCGTGACTTTTGGTCTATTTCGCACCGCCAAGTATTTAGGGTCGGGTGAAATTAAATCTACATATTTTAATTCTTACGAGTATATCTGATTTTTACTACTACTTTATAAAAGACAATTTATAAAAGATATTTATTTTAAAACTTTTGATGAGAAAAAAACATTTGCATCGAATAAATTGTAAGAAAAAATTTCTTAGGATGTCGGCCTGGCGTACCAACATCCAAAAGTTATATATAAAAAATGTATCTAAAATAAAAATGTCAAGCCTTCTGAGCGTATTTCTGACATGAAAATCAAAGCTCCTCACGAAAAAACCATCAGCCGTTCGGAGGCGGCTTAGTATAAACTGTAGATCCCTCCATTTTTTGCTAACACAACCAGACACATGCCACAAATTGGAAAAGGAGCTCGGATTGACAAACAGTAACTTGTCAGATTAGGAATTGGACAGGATATCGGAAAAAGATTATTATTTGCCTTATTTCGTCTGTATTGTTTAGGTTATTTCCTCCATTATTTCATTTAAGCCGTAATAAAATATCAAATATTTTGTCGATGGAACTAACAACTTCAAAATATTCGTCATTTGATTACAAAGTTATTGATATATTTTATTGACAATTAACAGTATATTTTAGGGAATAAGCTTCAACTTGTAGTTCAACGAGTAGTTACCGACAATATCAAAAAAAAATTCAAAACTTTTACATTCATAAAATAGTAAAAAGCTGTTGTTTCTTTAATGTTTGTGTCTTCATTTTGTTACTAAAAAAATAAAAATCTAAAATTGCTTTGCAATAAATTTTTACATAAAGGAAAAATAATAGTGAGGATTGGTAAACTTATTAAATTAGCGATCAGACATTTTACCGCTTTTGTTGAGTTTTTTTGGTAGCTTGGTAGCTTTTACTGGTTAAAAAAAAAATCATAATATTTTGGCAACACTGAGCATGACATTCACAGATGCCATGAACACAGCCAATGAATGCCTAATCGCCTACTATGACCGCCGGGAGAAATACTGACTTCGCCCGATTCGTGCCGCCATTGCTGTATTGGCCAATAGCAACAGCGAATACTCACACTAGTACAAGTTCCGATTGAAATTTTGTATACGTGCACTATCGATTACTACAGTGTGTGTGCCGAGGGAGAATGCGAGTTATTTGTCAAAGCGAGCGCTAAAAGTCAGCCATTAGTAGTTAACCTTTCAATCAAATCGTATATTTATTCACAATCGTAGTGTTCGACTATCAAATAATTCCAATTACATTGGTTAAATTTTGGAATAAATCTTATAATCAGTTAAATAAATTGAGTATACAATGAGCTATCAAGTAGAGGCATTAAACTCAGCACATCTGGAATTGCAAGGAGGTGGTGGTGGAGCTGAACTTCGTCGTCCATTTGATCCCACTGCCCACGATTTAGAACCATCTTTCCGATTGACCAGGTTTGCTGACCTAAAAGGTCGTGGTTGTAAGGTACCACAGGAAGTTCTAGGAAAGCTAGTGTCGGCATTACAGCAGGATTATTCCAATGCCTCGGATCAAGATGCTCAATTTTTGAACATGGCCATACCTCGTATTGGAATAGGTTTGGATTGCTCTGTCATCCCTCTGCGTCATGGTGGTCTCTGCCTAGTTCAGACAACCGATTTCTTTTATCCTATTGTTGATGATCCATATATGATGGGAAAAATAGCTTGTGCTAATGTATTAAGTGACTTGTATGCCATGGGTGTAACGGATTGCGATAATATGTTGATGCTGCTGGCAGTGAGCACAAAAATGACTGAAAAAGAACGTGATGTAGTAGTTCCACTAATAATGCGTGGTTTTAAGGATTCTGCTCTAGAAGCTGGAACAACAGTTACTGGTGGACAAAGTGTGGTGAATCCGTGGTGCACCATTGGAGGAGTCGCCTCAACTATATGCCAACCGAACGAGTATATAGTACCGGACAATGCAGTTGTTGGCGATGTTTTGGTACTAACAAAGCCTCTTGGTACGCAAGTGGCCGTTAATGCTCATCAGTGGTTAGATCAGCCTGAGCGATGGAACCGTATCAAACTTGTGGTTTCAGAGGAAGATGTTCGCAAAGCTTACCACCGAGCAATGAGCTCAATGGCTCGCCTAAATCGCACAGCCGCTCGCTTGATGCACAAATACAATGCTCATGGTTCAACAGATATTACAGGATTTGGCTTGTTAGGCCACGCACAAACACTTGCTTCGCATCAAAAGAAAGACGTTTCTTTTGTTATACATAATCTTCCAGTTATTGCTAAGATGGCAGCAGTTGCAAAAGCTTGTGGAAATATGTTTCAGTTGTTACAGGGTCATTCGGCTGAGACTTCTGGCGGTCTTCTGATTTGTTTACCAAGAGAGCAAGCAGCTGCTTACTGCAAGGATATTGAAAAGCAAGAAGGTTATCAAGCTTGGATTATTGGTATTGTTGAGAAGGGAAACAAAACAGCACGCATTATCGACAAGCCCCGAGTAATTGAAGTACCAGCAAAAGATTAATTTAATAAACAATAGCTTATTATTACCCACTTCAAGTTTGATATATAAAGACAAAGATGAGGATAATTAAAATTATTTTTATTTGCCTACATTAAATATTAAACAATGTGCTTTCCTTTATTAATATATTAATAAGTTCGTGCTCTGTATTAAAAGATTTATTTTAAGATTTTTATATACATATGTAATCGGTCGTACATTTTTCAAGAATAAAGAAAATATGTAAATGTTGAGTATAATAACAAACTATTTTTCTATATCCAACTTTGGCAATGTGCAAACATACAAATTGTACAATATACTATTTCCGTTGTAATAGATTTCTTTTTCAACGTGACCAAAGTTATGGCAAAAATTTTGCGGAAAAAAGTAAAACATCTTATCCTTGTAGACCGGTTCGGCATTAGCAAAACGACAAGAGTAATAACAGGTAACTTTTGAATAGAGCTTCACGGGAAAATATGGGCTAGAGGAAGAGCATATTGAACTCTTGACCTCAGAGCCACACAAGTTCCTCAAGAAAAACTTCTTTGACTATCTCACTGAGTTAGGTGGTCCGAAGGGCCTTGATCACTGACCAGCAACCGCATCAACTCAACACAAGCAGAATACATCACAGTTGAAATAATGATTTTTCACACTTCAAAAAAAGGAAGCAAATGAAATCGATTAATTCTTTACTAAGCTTATTCGCCTTTTTCAAAAAGAATTCAGATCATCTACATACATATTCATAAAAGAAAAAAGATCATAAAAAGCTCGAAAGTCAAAAATTCACTTAAAAACATGGATCGAAAATAATCTTATTTTTGATTAAAAAAATACAAAATAAATTACTTCTATATATCAAAATAATCGTTATCTCGTTTAAGTATTTTATATTATATTTTGAGTTTTATTTTTTAAATATAAATTGTTTTGTAAGCAATATTATTCCTCTCAAAAGTAAAAATTATTTTTTAAGACTAGTTTTTTTGAGCACACGATTAAATGGCAGATGGTAAAATCTTTATGTTCTTACGGTCCTTTCATAAACGATAAGTATTGTCCCATCGTCCTGCAGGGATTTGTTAAATAAATGCGTTTTGATGCTGATTGTTGTTAGACGTTCATTCCCCGGTGAGAACTTAGAAACGGAGCTCCTTTCTCCTACCAACCTGGGAGCGGCCAGAAATAATTTTGCATGTGTTTCAAGCAGGTTATGACTTTCGGCCTTAGGCCAAAAAACCCTGGGTAGGCGACAAACATCCGTTTAAAGACGAGAGGGCGAACTTGCCGGGTTTGTGATTAGGATTTGGAATATATCATATAACAATTCTGCCCGAAAGGAAAGTCACAAAAACTCCCATCTGAGACACCTTTCTGCTGACGACTTTTGCAAACCTTCTCACGGAGCTCCCCGCAGCATGACTCCCACAGACCACTCTTCAACCCCTGTGGTAATGAGGGTTCCTCAATGTCCGATAGTAGCACTGAAAGATTCGACAAAATCAGTGCGACCAGGTCAAGTCGCGCGCAGGGCGGACGTCTGATGGAGTGAGGAGAGCAGTGAAGGTGTTTTCAGTAAATTGCGTGAACCCGGGCCAGTTAGCTTTTTTAAAGTTAACAAATGTCCGATGGTCCGCGGAAACAAACTCGTGAGGCCTGTCATTTGAGATTTGTATGGGTAAGTGGTCCGATGCTAGTGTCAGTATAGGTCGCCAGGCTATACTGTTTATCGATAAGCACTCGCTATTGCTATGTCTGGTGTCTTTAATGGGGCAGAATGTCGAATCTTCTATCTGTTCCTTCAGTTCATTCCTCTACGGTAATTTTACAGGCGATGCGCGTTAAAGTTGCCCAAAACCAAGCAGTTTTCGCCTCTGAGTAGCGCACCGATATTAAAGATATATCTAGCTGGGCAGCTTGTAACAGCAGGAAGGTATATATTGTATTAAATATTTCGAGCTCGGCATCGTCTAGGGTAGATTCCCAGTGGTCGATGTTGTCATCGATGAGACGATAATGCACGGTATTGTTCACGATGAACCCTATGCCCCACCGGACCGACCTCAGAAGATCCGAAGAGGTGGTCAACTTCGTTTCCTGGATCGCAGCAATTAAAAAGTGCTCCTTGCTCATGTAGTCGACTATCTCGTCGATATTTCCTTTAAGACGTTCGTAGTACGAGGGGTAAAGGAGTGATGAGTGGACTTAGTATGTTATTGCAGTAATACCCGCTGGATTGGATGTCGCACGTTGGTGTTGGTTGCCGACAATGTTGTAGATAAAGCCGTAGGTAGACTCCTACAGCAAGGGGCAACGTACGCATCACTCCACTCACGGGTGGTGCGCAGGCAAGAATACATTCGAAAATGGAACCAGCCAGAGCAGAGTTGCAACTGACTGATGGCATGTCCGTCCGACACGGAAAAGACTGTGCGGGGGACTAGGAGCTATTGGGAGATCCCTGACACCGTAAAAGTGTGTGGTTGGTTACCCAGATAGATTTGAGAGCTGGTGGTCTCTTTTATGACAACGCAGCAGAAATAATCCGTCAGACCAGGGTTGGTTTCGACGCAAGCCCTAATGAGAACGATTTGGAGGTGTTGCTCCATTGGTGACCTCAGACTAATTTTACCTGTTGACCTAAACGGGGTTAGATCATCGAACAGATCACTGTGACAGCCTTTGACAAAATAAAGTCTTGGTCAACACCGGTGAGTAGAACCGGCTGTCGTGAAAGTTGTTTATATTAGATTTAGGTACCCTTAAGCTATAGCAAAAAGTAGTTAACCGGATTAATCAACTCCGGCAGCTATTAAAGACCTGTCCAATTAAATTTTTTTCAATTTTTGGAAATAACCAGAAATCACAAGATGCTATTTCCGGGAAATATGGAATATTCTGGACGTATTCTTCGATCCCAGAGATCGCAATAAAATTACTCGTTGTTTCAGTAATGTGAGCTGGAGCGTTGTCATGATGTAAAAAGAAGCGCCCCAAATTCTCTTTCTTCCTGTTTTGCAACAAATTGTTGAAAACTTTTGGGAAGCACGCTTTGGTGTACTATTTTGCAGTTACCGTCTGACCCTTTTCCAGTGGAATATCAGCTACGATTTTATATCGGGTAAAGTAAACTCACATCATTCATCATGGGTTTGCTTCTTCTTTAAATACGGTGCAATCGTTCCATTAGCAATTCGGGATTCACTGAGCATTTAGATTGGCTGTAAATTACGTCGAAACCCGAAGAGAATCACTCACCAACTTACCAAACTTCTGTTAGTCCTCTCTTACAGTATTAGTCCCAAAACGCTGCCTTGAGCAACACCAGCCATAATTGGACATTCCTCTTAGATAAATTCCTTTACTTTAACTATAAACCTTCTGTAGTAAGGTATGATATGAAGATCTGAAGGATTTTTTTTTGGCAAAGTCATTTTAATTTTGTATATATGTAAGTCCTTCCTGCCATTATTTTCCGAATGCAGTACTCTTTCAACTCAAATGCCTACCTGATCTCATTGGTAGTGCGATGGGCTCGTTCTATAGCACCATCATTTTCGAGGACACCGAATTGATTTTATATAGTTTCTTGCCATTGGCATCTCATGCTCAAGTGTATTGGTTTAAATTTGAAGTCAGCAAGATTTATAGAGGACTGACTGTTGACGCTTGTTTTTTTATACAGAATTCATTTATTTACTGGATCTGCTAACAGTAAGTGGCCTAACAGTAAGTGTACAAATCTTAAAAACTAAATTAAAAACATGATAGCTCAAGTTATTTTAGTCTGAGCCATTTTCAAACTACGGCGATCTCCTTAGAAGGCGGGAACATCTCTTCGCTGCAGGCGGGAATTTCTCGATGGATTGCATAAAGCATTAGCTAGCAGGATGATTTCTTAGCTTTGTGAAGTACTTCGTTCTGCTTCTTTCAATTTCAAGCTTAACCAGTAAAATACTAAGGTCTTAATGAATGTTAACGTTACGAACGTACCATGGTGCACACGTTAGTGCTCTTAAAATTTTGGACTGGAACCTCGGTTTTTGTAAATATTAGTTGCACAGGTCGTACCCCGCAGTTGAATACAAATTGGTTTTAATACTGCGTTGTAAATAAGGACTTTGCAGTCTAGTTTTAGACCGGAGATTTTATTTAAAAACCAATTTAAACTGTGTCTCTTCCGAGTGAGACGTCTATCTAAGTGTATACCGAGATGTGTAACATCATTTACTTGGGGAATGTTTATACCATTTAAGCGAATTGCAGGACATGATTGCGGTCTTAAAGTATATCCAAAGTGTTTACACTTTTGTTTGTTAACTTGAATTCCCCAGTTTTTTAGCCATTCTTCGATAGAGAGTAAATGATCGCTAATTGGGTTTGTTGCTCTTTTAGGGCATTTATCCCGGCATAAAATAGCTGTGTCATCCGCAAAGGTAGATGTCTGCACTTTTCGGTTTAATGGGATGTCTGCAGTGTATATGGTATATAAAATAAGCCCGAGGACGCTACCCTGCGGAGCACCAGCTTTTACCGGATACTCCTCACTGATAAATTCAGATTGCTTAATGGTAAACTGTGTGTTGAACAGGCAGAGCTTTATGTATTTTGTACAGTAAACCTTTATACCAGACTTTGTCGAACGCTTGTGCTACGTCGAGAAAGATTGACTGTTGACGCTGTCATTCTAGTCTTGACATATCGTTCAAGAAATTATTTTTCTTTAAAATTACGCACATAGTATTTCTATATAATAATACTGAACGCATTTTCTTGCGATTTTCAAAAAGGCTTATAAATTTATTACATCTCCACTTGCTATATAAAAATGCTCACATTTTATATACAGAAGGAACTCGACTTAATTTTTTGTATTTTCAGAAATTGAACCCTTTTGCCTTAAGGTTAAGTTTTTGAAAACCCCAAAATAAGGAAAGCGTAACTGACATACCTAAATTGGTGCGTTCGGCGTAGCGTTTTCTACCGCCAATAAGTGGCCACGCGCGCTTTCACAAAATAAAAGCGCTAACGTTTGGTTGTTTTCTCTTTCTCTTCAAGCTCGTATAATTTTAAGAATTTTCGTTTATAGCAAACAAGATAATACCAACTTAATCGGAGGACAAAAGTGTGCCTCCACCGGTTGAATTAATTTTTCAGTGAATATTTATCATTTTATTTGCAAAATATTATTTATTTGCCAAGTAGGAGAGAACTATTCGCCTATAATTCTTCATCAGTTTTTTTCCTTTCTTTTGCGCTTTTAACCTTCACATCTAACTTCATCATGTAACGCGCTGTCAAAATTGAAAATTCTATTTGCTCAACGCTGACGCCGCGCTGTTGTGAGATGTCCCATACAAATTGTATGGCCATGAGGATTTTTGACAGTTGTGTAGCGTTCAATGCTCCAATTTGAAGATAGCAGTAACCAATAGCAAGAGTTAAGAAAAAAGTCCTATGTATTTTCTTTGTGTAAACGAACGTTCGAAATGTCAAAACCTATTTCATGCATTTTTTTGTGTAATTTGTTGAAATGAGAGGAAGTAAAAGCAATTACATAATCTGACAGTTTCACCTTCTACAAATTCGCCTTGATAAAGCACAATATCTCTGTGCGTAGAAAATAGCGGAGCGCAATTGTGTTTGTACTGAGTCGAGTACATTTTCGGGAGCACATAGGTATGCGCCAGGAAATGTCGTTTCATTTATATTCCTTTATTTTGCTTTGGGGAATTTGTTCTAGAAAGGCATCAAGGTGATAATGAAGAGAATGTAATTTCGACGTACCGATATTATCAAAGAAATACACGTACAATAGAGCATCAACTCTTTTCTTTATCTTATCTCTCTCTCTCGTTTATGACTTAAAATGCGCTCAATTACTGCTTTTAGTAAATTCCAGGCTACCAGATGATTATTTTTTGGTATGTTATGAAGACCTGGGAAAAGGGGATTGAAGCACCCTATCTTCGCCGATTTTAATGCAGTCTTCGACAACACGAATATCTGCTACATTTTTTACGCCGCTATGTCTGAATTTGGTAACCCCGCAAAGCTTATACAGCTTGGTACGGTTAAGCAAAACCAAAAGCTCCGTCAGGATCAAAAAGGGCCTCTCCGGGCTGTTCGATACCAGCAAGGTTTCCGACAAGGTTATTCCTTATTGTGTGACTTATTTAATTCATTGCTGGAGAAAATAATACGAGCTACTTAGCTGAATAGGAAAGGCACAATCTCTTATAAGAGTATACCGAGTAAAGTGAGCTGGAAATTGCCTAAGTTATACAAAAATAAAAATTAAAAAATAAAAAATGGCTCTTGAATAATTGGAATACGATTTATCATAAGATGAAAAAGTATCCTGCCCTTCATCACTGAATAGAAGTTTGCTTCACTTGAATGCCACCGAATTTCGGAAGCTATAGAGATTAACGCCGGATTTAGTTGAAGAAATCGTTTCTCAACTAGATGGTCAACTAAAAGGAAGAAGAATAACAGCATTGTCTACGGAGAAACAGGTAATAATATGACTTTTAAATAATTTTTCAAGTCATAACACTATTAAAATGTTTAAAGGTTCTAATCGCCCTTAGATTTTTTGCAACTGGATGCTGACAGAACGTTACCGTCGGAGAGCAATGCGAGATATCCATGAGTCAGTCGTCAGTAAGCCGTTGTATTCATCGCGTAACAGACACAATCAGCCTTTCTGAGAAGGTTAGTTTTCGCATGACGCTGATAGATAGAGAGAGATAAACCACCATGGATACCATTCCACCAATGTGCAAATGGTGAGAGTAAATTTGTTTCCGATTACTATTGTAGTAACAAAGTTCATTATATTTTCACATATATATATGATCCTTACCTCAAGATTTTGAGGGTCAATGGTAAGTACCCATGAGCGCGGTACGATTCTTTTATTTGTAACTCCTCTACATTGCGAAGAGCAGTTCAGCGCAGTTTTAAAAGTGGAAACTACAATATGTTTTTGATTGGTCAACTTTGAAAACCATTAAAACTCATTTATTAAAAATAATTTTGAAAACAAAAACAAAATATTCTGGTGACTCTGGATATTATATATATATGAGCCATGGCTTATGACTACAAACCAACCACAAGGAAGTCTTGAAATCCGCTACAATGAGGCATTGTGTAAAGCACGAAACCCAGTCGAGCGACTTTTTGGCGTTCTCAAAGGAACTTGGCGATGCCTATCTCAACAAAGAACTCTTTTGTTCGATACTTGATTCACTGGTTGAATAGTTAATGCGTGCTCATAACATTCGATTAGGTGACCAAATATATGCGCACGAGTTCCCAGAAAGTAGAACAAATACCGTCAATGGCAACCAGAGCAAAATCCGTCCAAGATCGCTTGATCGCGTATTATTTCACTTAAATATCAATTTGATAAAAAAAAAACTCCAAAATATAATTTACATAATTTGTAATTTTATTTACATCCATATTTACATACGGCTAATTGCCCCTGCTAAATTGTTGAAGTCCGCTGCACAAGCTTGTAATCTCTCACGCATTGTGGACATAGCCTCTGTTAATGCCTGCGTGGTCGCCGCATTACTTCCAGCTAAAAACTATTATAAAAAAAGTAATACAAATATTCTATAGCATTTAAAAAGATTACCTGTAAGGCATCAGTTTGCCTGCATGCAACTTGGGTGGACGCTGCACTCGACTCTGCTAACGTCTTTTGGAAAAAAACGAAACTACAAGGTAATGAAAACATATTCTAATTGTGTTTGCAAATCCAGAAATACATACTTTTAAGGCATCCGCTCTGTTTGCGCAATTTGTAAAAGTTTCGCGTATCGTTCACATCTTCCACAAGTCTTCTCTTACTGCTTCTTCGTGGAATTTTTGTAGTTTGAGTCGCAGGAGTCGATGCATGCATCTAAAAATCGACCCCATTTGAAAATGAAGGAATCTCGACAATTAGACTTTCTTCACCCTCCTCTAATTACCGTTGCGGTTCCTATTTTGAGGAGAATTTTAGTCTCTTATATTTATACAATAACAAACTGTTTAATTTTCATTACCTCCTCTACAGGCACAGTTTCAGGAACGATTTCGTGGCAGTGGACATAGTCATTACCTACAAGGGCAATGGCCTGTCCCTAATTCGGTGAGTGGCTCCTCATCATGGGAGTGTTTCCTGTAATTGCGCGCTTTCTTTTCCGGCATCGGACCTTGATGCTTGTACGGCTTTTCAAATCGCTCCATACCTTTTTGTAAAATATAATTTTAACATACTGCCAAATTGCTTAAAAATATTTGCATATCGTGTGCCATTGGTCGACGCTTTTCAAAGCTACGCCAAGGCTATTTAGCGTACTAGCTAATTTGCTCCACTTCCAATTGCCGTCCGATATTCCATGACGCTTCTGGAACCGAGACCCTGCCAAACCCGTGGTTTCTGTGAAAAAATCCATCATCCGAATTAGTTGCTCCATCGAGGCTCGGTTTCTTGTTTTCGTAGGCATTCTAGAATACTACATACAAAAAGGTATGTGTAATAATACAAAAACTAATAAACGTTTAATTTTACTTACATTTTTCAAAGCAGAAACGCGATCCGTCAAATCGTGTGGAAAAAGTTACAGAATCGAACACTGATCTTTCCAGTCTGGCGTTCAAAATTGGCATTCGTTCAGGCTTGCTTTTTTTGTGTAAACAACAATTTTAAAACCACAGCCACAGAAGCTCCAACAATTCTTGGAACTTTTCTGTGTTTTGTGTTTAAATCAAAAAGGCTTTTGATTACTTCTATTTTCGTAGCATTTAGTTTTTTCATCTATGCTGAAGCTTAATAAAATAACCAAGAAAAATGTAGAAAAACTGAGCTTTTACTAAAAACTTGATTCTAAGGACTTCACCACTATTAATTACAAAATAAAAAGAAAAACTTGAAAAGCTGAGCAATATTATGTTCACTAATAACTCTCTATTTCACAAATTCTACTAAGTAAACTTGCCTTTTTTTATTGAAAAGTTTATTTTAACAAAGGAAATGGTAAGTGATCAAATAGTTGTCATACTGTATTTAAATACACTATTGTGCCTTCACCTTTAGTACGAGGTGTGTTATAAAAATATCGCGAATTTTGTGTTCTTTTCAAAAATTATTTATTTATCCATGAATATCTATTTTGTCCCTTTCATAGTAATCCCCATGAGATATTATACACTTGTGCCAACGGTTTTTCCAATCTTCGAAGTACTTCAAAAAACCATTTTTTTATCTTGTTCAGCTCCTCCTTCGATACCATCTTTATCTCGTCAATCGTAGCGTAACGTCGTCCTTTCATGCGTCTCTTCAGTTTAGGGAACAAGAAAAAGTCACAGGGGGCCAGACCTGAGGAATACGATAGCTGCGGCATCATTAGTGTGTTGTTTTTGGCCAAAAAGTCGCGCAAAAGCAACGATGTGTGAGCAGGGGCGTTATCGTGGTGCAAAAGCAAATTTTTGTTCTTCCACAAATCCGGGCGATTCTGGCGGATTGCTTCGCGCAAATTGCGCATAACTTGCAGATAATATTCCTAATTGACCGTTCTACCCTGTGGCAATACCATTCTCTCCACTTCATTAATTTTTTCGTCTGTTGTTGAAGTGCTCGGGCGTCCGGCACGCTCTTCGTCGTTCACATCTTCTTGGCCTTCTGAGAACATTTTGCACCATACGTTGCTTCGGTCCAAGGTAGCTTCTCCGTATGCCACAGCCTACATTCGGAATGCATCCGCGCACTTAATTCTGTTTTTCACAAAAAATTTGATACAGGTTCTTTGATCCATTTTGTTGAATAGGTAAAAGTCGAAGACCATCCAAAAGGCGTGCAAGCAAAGCAGCTGTCAACAATTAAGTGAACATTCAAAATGGCCGAGCTTGTCGGCATAAGTGACAGACATGAGTACCAACATTACGCCACAAAAAAATCGAAATTCGATTATACGTAACCCGCGAAAATTCAAAAATCGCGATATTTTTTGAACATTCCTCGTATTATGGCCTTGAAACAATCCATGGCGATATATTCCCATTTTACACATTGTGGTTGCACCAACATGTTAGTAACACCCATTTATCATTGGGTCGTTGTGTAAACTTGATTTGTGGAAGTTCTCAAACTCCAAATTTTGCTTACCTTTGTATGATGAATAACAATTGCAAGGAGCCAAAAGTATTTCAGAGAACCGCCATTTTTTATTTACCTTGCAAAATATTTATAATTTTTAGATCACAACAGATCTTCCATATATGTTCTTCATACTGCATTTTCTGTGTTACATCGTAGAATGTTTCATGCGTTTCCTGCATATTTATGCCGAGTCCCACTGAAATATTATATTTTCTGTTTGTTTTATATGTATGTATATGTGAACGGTTGCACCGTATTATCAGTCGGGCTCGATAGTATAGGTTCGGTACATTCAGAGCGTAATACTGGAAGTATGACAGTTAAGGCAGGAACATATATTTTTGTATAAAACCTGGTTTCCTCATGTCGCGCTGGATCTTTCACCCAATTTACTAGTTTTTTTTATATTTCTAACCCACAAAAGTATTGTAACAAATTTTGCATACCGTGTTCGGTGTAAAATGTATCTTTTGGAACTACATGTGTATGAGTATAAGCACAGGAAATGAAAAAATATCTTTACGGTACGTTATTTTCTGTATTGAAGTGTTCAATAGTTTTTTTTTGTTATTCATCTATACAAAACGCATATTTACGATATTGAGGCATCAGAACATACATACATACATTATTATATACATATCAAATTTCATTATATGATGGGACGAATCGATTTATATATGAATTTATATATTTCCCTGTTTGTCCAAAGGTGTACCCAATAACTCAAGTACAGATTCGGATATTTTCATGAAACTTGGAAGCTATTGGAATACGAATACGGTGGCTATTGCAAATGCGTGAAGGCGATAATTTTGAAAATTCCTAAAAAGTTCTAAAAAAAATGGCAGAAATATTTACGTACAGAAATAGACTTATCTCACCTATAACAAAATTCTTAGTTTTTATCGATCTGTGGACTTAATATAAATATTACCGATAGTCTTCTTTTGGGCACTGCTCAATTTCAAAGTTATTAAAACCAAGAAACTAGATTAGATGGAGTATAGCGTTTGTTGGTATTACTGCTGGGAACACGGTTAGATTTCGGGATTTTATCCCATTGATCGAAACAAGCATAGGACAACCCAATGACTTAAGGGGTGCCCTTTTGCCCTTTGTAGAAATCTAGAATCTAAAATTCTCGCATCGTCCAGTTTTTAGAATGAGAAAAGTTTATAAACCTTGAAATTAACCTCAACATGCACAAAGCGTTACGTCGAAAAAGAACTGCGGCCTAATGAACAATTTTCGTAATTGCAGATATAGCGGTGTGTTTGCGTAGCTATTGCCCCATTTCACTTATTTGTAACACCTTCTAATATGGCATCCAAGCAGCAAATGAACCAAGTTCAATATTTTTCTGCTTTAATTTTAGGTAAGGGGTAAATTATTATTTATTTTTTATAAGGTTAAGATCGATATAAATGAAAAACACAATATTTATTTTGTTTTCCGATTTATTTTAGCTTTACAAATAGGATGAGGACCTTGGCCCAAAATCGCTCCAGCGGTGCACACAACGATTAACTCCTTGATTAATTTTAAATGCCAGAGCCTTTGGTATAACTTTTTATATATGAAATAACTTTCCTGAATAATAAAAATTAGCACCGTTAAATTGCAAATTTTTTTCGCCATTGAATAATGAGTAATTTATTTCAAAAGCTATTTCGATTACCTTCATACTCTGATGTAAATCGTTTCGGTAACATCGCATCTGTTCTGTAGTTTCATTCTTCTTCTTATTAGCTTTATATACCGTTTGATGAGAGCTATATCTGCAATTAGGTATTCCACATTATATATTTGAATTCATATTATCAGAGGAATTTTTAAAAACAATATACATTTCATCATCACGTTTCTCAACTTTTGGTTTTATGGAGTTTGTCAAATATGGACAAAAAAGTATCTATATTTTAAACATCAGACATATCGAATCAAATATAACATATTTTCGAAAAATTTGGTATCGGGTCCACGTTATAAATAGAGCACAGCCTCCAAGCTTCAAGTTTCTGGCATCAGTGGTTTAGCGTGTGGACTGAACCTTCAGTCATTCAGGACAAAACCTATTATATAATACATAGATCTAGTTTAGTACTACCTTTTCATGCATATTTGAAAACATTACAGTGATCAACAGATAAGAGAACACATTATAAGATTGCCAAAATACAGGTATATTTTATAGAGAGAAGAGAGCATATATGTACCTTCCTAAAGCAGCTAATAGAGAGGTCATCCTAATTCGGAGGGGAACATTTGCTTGGTAGCTCTTTTAAGCTTTCCGATCATACACTTTAGGCTACCCAAGAGCAATTCATTAGCAAAAGCATCAGTACACAATAGATTGTCGACGCGAATACATATAGTGCTCGCAACGAAACCGGTCGATCATTGCTATACACACATTACCGTAAAACGTCGCCATACCGCTGCTGTTGTAGCACACCAACATCACGACAGTGATCTTACAGTTGCCAGTGTCAAAAGCCAAGCAATACTTACATATACAATAATACCGATAGACACTACAACGCTCCATATTGTACTACAAATATTGAGACCAACAATTGAACCTAAAAACCATTGAAAAACGGTGAAAAAGTATGTGAGATATTTGTGACAACTTTTGCAAAAGTAAACTAACCATTTCCACGTATGTATGTATGTATGTATGTATGCAGATACACATGTAAATATGTATATTCAATAAAAATGCATACATACATCCATGCGCACATATAAATAATAATTTATCTATTTTGATACAAATTTACGTGGATAAATATAATAAATACTAAGACAGGTTTCAAAGAGTCAAAGAAAACGTTCATATCCACAAATCGAACCCCGCAAAATACTAGTATAAGCACATAGACATACATATGTACATATGTATACATTCATATCTGTACATACTACCTACGTTTTAAAATATATCCATTTGTAGTATATGTATGTGCACACAGCACAGCAGACATGGGTCTGTATACATATTAGCATTCCTGGGTTGTATTAAATGGTGGGCGAGTGAAAATCGGTTGCAAGTAATTTTCGATGGCAATTAGCCAAAATTTCATCGCATATGTACGTGTATGTATGTATATAAGCCAAATTTATACACAGTGAAAAATGAAACTGAGAGCCAATAACGATCATTGTATTGTTTAAAACGCCAGTGACTCAGAAAATTCGAAATTATTGTTCAAAAATAATAAAATTAAATAAATAAAATTCATACATGCTTACATACAAACGCACATACATATGTATGTACGCACATATGTAAATATCACCGACAGATGTGAAAAAAGCAGATTTCACTGTCTTAAAAGATTTTCAGTGGCAGTGAACTAATTTTAGAATAATTTTCTTCATTTCTTTTTTATGTATGTTTATGAACGAGAAATGTTATATTTTTTCAACTTACTCGTATTTACCCACACATACTTACATACATATGTGTTTAAGTGTCTACATACATACGTACGAGCACATACATACATATGATCAATGAATAGACGCAAAGATGATCATGAACAAAAGCAAAACAAAAAAAAAGAACACCTAAACAGAGAAACAAAAATGAAGGAATTAATCAACAATGACGTTAGCATCAAAAAATTACACTATGAATGCTTTAATAAAAAAGCTGCACACATACACGTACGAGTACACACATACATATGCCAATGTCTGTGTAAGATGAATGTCTTGAATTATGTGCGAGCTAAATAAACAAATATATACATACAGACATATGTGCTTCTATTCCCATGTAATATATGTATGTACCGATATATCTTTGAAGCTTTAAAGTCCTGCTATTGGTTTCCCTACAGATGATAGTAGGTACCTATAAGCATTTTAAAAAATACATTGCGACTTATTGATAGAGAAATTGTAATGCTAGAGATTCGAAATTCATAACAAAAATTTTTAAGATATTGAATACATATTGTAATGTACATATGTACATACATATGTATGTATGTAGAACAG